ACACTAAGGGATATTGTACTTTGAGCTTTTTCATCTAAATTTAACCATTCCTTATGGTGCATTTCGTCTATCATCTTTTATTACTTTCCAGGTACCTTCTCTTACAAGCAGCATCATGGGCGAAGTTATGTCATCAGATCTAGGGGAACTAAAGCCCTAGTCATTTAATATAATGTAATAGTTCTAGTAGTAAGAGGTATACTGAAGTAAGGTAAAAAATTCTGGCTAATCTATAAGTATGGATAATATATCGTATAGATAATATATCGTTTATAATATATATTTATATCAGGTGAAAAAACTGAAAAATTTTCATCACAAAAATTTTCCTCATTTTCACAGTCATGAAATGGTAGTTTGTGGAACAAGAGTGGATATGGACAATCCACTCGAGTTGCACAGTATATTTTTTCTATGACCCACTAACGAAAATCTACAAATTTAAAAAATTATTTTAGGTTATTAAGACAAAATAACTAATTTTAAAATAATTTACGAATTTTAATAATTTATAAAAAAAATAGACCCTAGCCCGCCCAGATTCGAACCTAGGCTATTCGCGTGAAAGGATCTGTCCTAAGCTGCATTGCCACTTTTAGGTTTTTAGTTTTAATACTCGTAATTAAATTAGTTTCATACAATTTGATTAAAATTTATTTATTTTTTTCAAAATGTGGCCCAAATAAAAATAAAAAATCTATTTTTTATCGATTCTAAACATAAATAACTCATTTTATTGTATATCTAATCTCAATAACTAAAAAAATATACGGACAGTTCGGCAGAATTTAAAATTTTAAAAATAATAGTAGTTGGTTGTCCAAAATATGAACTGTGATTGGTGTATTTCATTTTTTTGCAGTGTTCTCAGTTGAAAGTAATAGCATACTTTTTCGTTTTGTAATCTGTGCGTAGATAATATAATATCCATGTGGGTGTAGAAAAAGTATATTATGATAACAGCTTAAAATACAATCTGGCTAATGTGGAACACCCCGAAAGCCTCGCCAGAGTCGTCTAATGATCGTCAGGTGCGCTAAATTCAGCATATTCAATTACTATTCCTCTCCTTCTCAGGCCCGACCGAAACAGGGTTTTATAACCGAAACAGAAACCGAAACTTTCTTTTAAGGCAATTTCTTATTGAAATTTGCAATATCTTATTGTAATCCTTGTTTTAGACTAATTGACTCGTATTATAAATTTTAGCAACATTTAATTATTACCTATTTATTTATGTGATCGAAAGAAGCCATTAAGAAATTTATTGACAGCTTTTTTATTACTTTTATTACCATTTCTGCATCTGTAGTAGATTTTTTGTAACAAAAATTAGTATTATAAAGGGAATTATATATAATGTTCAATTTTTATTGTTTGTTACTTATAATTAAATTTATATTCATAAGTAAACAGTTTAACGTTGTAAGCTATAAATAATATCTTTTCCACGTTTTCACATAAAAAACTGCTCCTCTGATCCAAATAAATTAGGCGAGAGCACTGAAGACTGTTCAGTTGAAACACAGCAGAGAAATTTGTGTGTACGTGCACTATGTATGAATGGCACCCGGTACAGTCGCCATTGTGCCGGACACCACCAAGTGTAATGCGAAAACTCTCTAAAATAGTTCCGCTTTTAGCTGCAGTTTCGGCCAGTGTTTCGCCGAAACCGAAACTGTAGTCGAAACTCTTCTTTTAGACCGAAATTGGCCAAAACCGTAACCTTCGGTCGGCCACTACTTGTGAGTTTGGCAGGCCTTCGTGATTGTAAATGTCAGCCAGACGTGTATTTTCACTTAGAATAACCACTAGTGCCTAAATTATTTCCGGAAAAATTTATGAAGCTTGACAGACATGCATTAAAATGACTAAAATCAAATTTGCACAGCTGGCCATTTGTTATATTTGAAGTCGTTTAGTTGACGCGAAAAACCTAATTATTATTTTACTTAAAATAAATGTAGTGTACTTCTATCTAGTTATAACTGGTATTAAATATAATATTAACCACTGAAATGGCAAATTTTTTAATCGCACTATGCATGAAAAAGCTTCGCAAATGTCAAAAAAAATTTCAGTATAATTTCGTTTTCAGGGTACCCACCAAGAAAAAAATTTCCTGAAATTTTTCTGGTTATCATGGAAGAGTTTTAAAATAACATTTGATCGTCTATAAAATAGAGGTGTAAAATTATAATATCAAGTGACAAATTTTCATACCAGGGAAAATAAAAGCAAAAATATTATATTTTTCCGATTTTGAAGATGTTGCCAGACTCATTTTCCAAGCCAGACCTATTATCATTTACAGTTCATTATTGCATCAATTTATACGCTAAATTTTAAGATAAATTTTTTTAATCCGAAAATTTTCAGCCAGGCTCACTTTCTACTATCTGAAATAGGACTGCTATTTTTATAAACTTTATGTTCTAGTTTAGTAAGTGTAAAATATTTATGACTGGAAAAATAAGTACCAGACTCAAAAAGTTTATTTTCAAGTAGACAGACTGAAAAAATGATTACGAAAAAAATTCACTGCCTCCTTGGACTAAATGTAAAATTACAGAATTAATCAAATGGCACGATTCTTTTTGTTTTTTAATTTCTGTTATGAAATGTATGGGTGGATGTGCGATAAATGTATTATTTTTGGAAGGGCTAATTTGGTTTTTTTTGTGGGGGGGGGGGCTAACCTCCCCCTACGCCCATAAGCAGCATTTTAATTTCTTCCAAGGCTGGTAATTGTTATTGTCAAGTCTTGCAAACCCAAAACTTGAACTTCCGGCTTCCAAACCTGATACTTCTTGCCAGTTTTACCCTTTTTTTATTATATTTAATCTTGCACAATCTTTCACGTAGGGGTGACGGCCCATAACCTGTTGAGGATTGCAGTTACGAAAATATTGTAGTTTTTGTAAATACTTTATTAAAGAATAAAAACCTTTATATGACAATCTCAGTAATAATCAAACTTGTCCAACTTGTATCTAAAACAACTTAAAAAACAAAATTGTTCATATATAGGATGACCAAGCGATCGATCCCAACACTAACAACCTAGTAATAATGGTCCTTATTTTCCAGTTCAAACCAGCACAAAATAATTAAAACAGAATAAACGACAAACTAACCCACTTTTTTAAAAACTAAATAACTAACAAACAATAAACTTAAACACACTACAAATCGTTGAGAATAAATAATTAATAATGATGTCCTAATTGTCAATAAAATAATGAATATGCAACTAACAACTAAATGTCAGTAATGATTAACCAAAACACAATTCCAGTCAAATTTTAGACAAACTTAGAAAAAATATTGTAACACGTTACAAAATGCCGTTTTATGTAACTCGTTCATGTTGTGATAACTGGTTCCATAAATAGTTATAAAAATCAAATAAAAAGTAATATCTTTAATTCTAATCATTTCAAATTTTTATTTGTCATTTTGAGGGGTAATTTATTAAACAATTCATCAAGTCACATGTAATTTGAGTTGCCTATTAGTAGATTCAAATATATTTAAGCGGATTTTTTGAGACCCAGTCACGATTGTAGATTCGTATCAAGGGACGTCCTTTGAAAAAGTCAGTGTGAAATAAAGCGCATCGAGAACCGGTAAAACTAAATTTTTGGTGCAAAACGTTTTTATCTGTAAAATTAGAATAAAAAACCTGTTGTAGGAAAAAAGCCTGTCGTCCCTTTGATACCAGAATTAAGGAGGGCTCTCACGTCACCCCTAGATGTAGTTTGGGTAAGTGATTTGGTCTCAATCGTTTTTTCTTAACAGTTTCATTTTTTTTAACCATTTTTTTTTAACTATTACTTAATAGAACAATTTTGAAAGACATACAGTCTATTTTTCTCTGCCTACTGGTTAGGCTATCAACTGCTAATACTTGCGGGAATGTACTAATTTATTTGAAATTTTATGGAAATTATTGCAAGATTTTTCCTTGTCGTTTTGTAGCATATCTTTCAAAAACTCAAACTACCAATATTATAAAAACGTGTAACACTAGAACATAGTTTATAAATAAAAATATAATCACCATTAAATCGCAATAAAATATTAGATTAGAATGTACCAAACCAAGTAGAAATACGCACGCACGCATGCATGCGCACCCGCACAAGTTCACTTTTACGCTCACTTTCACGCTCACGCTCTCCCTCAGGCTCTTCATCACACACACGACCGCACGAATACACGCACGTACGCACGCGCGTAAAGATCGCTCGAAAACTCGAAGTCGAAAAAAATCATGATTTCTATAATTTCCTTTCTCGTTACTGGAAAGTAAAAAGGAAGTAGCAACAGTTCCAATCAACTTCTAAATAGTTTATTGTTATTTAAATTATTACTTTTCAAATGAAAAAAAAAATAATAATAATAATATTAATAAAAAAATAAAACTTTAATTTTTTTTTTAATGTACAAACTAAACTAGCAAATTATGTTTCTCTCTTACAAGAGCCTGAGTTGCAAGGAGGTCCAGAATACTCATGAAACTGAATTTATTGTAAGAGCTGAATGGTAACAGTAACAACTTTCACTAACTTTGTTGTCGTATCGTATTTTTCTTTTTTTAACAGACTTCAAAAAGGGAGGAGGTTCTCAATTCGTCGCAATATTTTTTTTTTATTCAGCGATAATTCTTTAACACGGTGTCCGATTTCAATGATTATTTTTCTGCTAGAAAGGGGGTACTTCAGGGGTGGTCCCATATAAATTTGGTCAAAATCTAATAATTGGGTCCATGAGAAAATCCTCAAACTCTTTATTTTTTATGTATGTTTAGCGATAATGCTTTACCACCTTGTCCGATTTATATGATTCATTTTTTGTTAGTAAGGGGGTACCTCAGGGGGTGATCCCATATACATTTGGTTAAGATGTGGTGATGGCATCTGCACGTTTTTGAAGTCGTTTTTTTCAAATTTTTAATTTCTAATACTTGTTAATAATTACTAATATAATTTTTTTACCTTATCACTTGAATAGGATCATTTCCATCTGTATGACGGGCTAAAAGTTGACGACTTTGTACATCAAATACCAGCCATTTTCCATTAATACAACCCACTATAATACATGAACCATCATGATAATAGCAAATACTTTGGGCTTGTTCCTGTAAATAATAAATATTATATCTTAAATTGATTTTAAAAGTAATTATCTGCTTCTAAGGAGTGATCCACAAAACATGTTTCTAAAGTAGGCCTTGGAAAAATTCACGTATATATGAGCCACAGTGTATAGCTAAAGAATCAGTTAGCTCACTCGGACCAATTGGATGTTCCAAAATGACATCCTCTCCAGGGATACCAATTCAGGATGCGCAGAAGAATGCTGTTTTAATATAGGAGGTTGTCATATTGTATGGGTTATAGTAAGAGAACCCCACTGCAAATTTCGACCATTACCTGGTAATGAAATGAAATATGCTCTAAAGACATGAAACAACATTGCACTTTACCAAATTGCACCTGTGCCAGTCCCTATCCTGAGCAAAGTGGTTAAAAAATATATTTTATATTCAAAAAATCACATAAGACATGACAGCGATAATTGTGTTTTTCCTGAAAATGACAATCCTAATTCATTATGAACTTAGCTTTTAAACCTGAATTATTAATATTTTTTCTACACCCACATGGATATTAGCTTATCTACTCACAGACTACAAAACGAAAAAGTATGTCATGCGTTCAACTGAACGAATATTTCATATCCATTGTAGGTAGTGAGAACACTGCAAAAAAATTAAATCCACAGTTCATATTTTGGACACCCAACTACTATTATTTTTAAATAAGTAACAATTTTGTCAAACTCCCAGACAGCACAAATAGGTCCATTGGACGTCCATTCGATATACAATTTTGGATGTCAGGACGTTCAAAAATGAGTTTTTTCTGGACTTCCTACGTCCAATGGACGTTCAGTGAAGTATGCAAATGGCAAACTTTTGACCATTCATAGTACGTCCAATTTTGGATTATATTTGGACGTTGGATACTGGTCATTCAAAAAATGTCCATTCCTGAATTATAATTCCATTGAGACCACATCCACACTTTTTTTACATAACCGCAACTCACCACACACTAATTTATATTATTAATAATTTATTTATTATTTTCGCAACCCGCTATACACCGTTTATTAAGGTGATTACAGCACCCCTTATAATTTTCGGACAAGCATAGGTATCTCAAAAAGTATTTTTTTTTTTTTTTAATTAAAATTTTGACAAAATAAATAAGGCAATAATATCTAGAATATGCATATATTTTAAATTTTGAAAAATCATAATAAAAATAAATGCATTCATCAACAGCACTATTCCTTATATAATCCAGAAATTTGAGCTCTTAATATCTTGTTAATGATTTTTTAAAATTCTCCGAAATTAGTGGCTAAAATGCCTCGTTAAGTACTGCTTTCTGGTGTAATGCGTCTGTAACTATCATATCGTACATTCGTTTCTTGCAACGATTTACACCAGTTTAGACTAGAAGATAGCACTTAACGAGGTGTTTTAGCCACTGATTTTGGCGAATTTAAAAATTCATTAACAAGACATTAAGAGCTTAAATTTGGGGATTATATTAAGAATAGTGCTGTTGAGGAATGCATTTATTTTCACTTACCGACTTATTCACAGATGATACAGATATATTCGTTCAGTTAATGGCAATAGTATACTTTTTCGTTTTGTAGTCTGTGCGTAGATAAGCTAATATCCATGTGGGTGTAGAAAAATAAATTTTTAAATCAGCAAAAATTGCTTCATATTTTTAATGATTTTTACCTACTAAAGAATATGTTAGGGTGCTTAACACAAAAACACACATTTCAACCCAACCAGTGTTCTCAACATTCTTTATGTTTACTTGCGTACCATCCAGATTTGAACTCTGTCGAACTTATGGCCACTGCTAAAAATAATATTAGTCGAAGAAATGTTACATTTAAAATAGACGACGTCAAAAATATAGAGAAAAATAAAATAAAATTGATGCAAGTGAATGGATGAAAAAAAGATAACCATGTTATCAATATAGGAGATAAAAGAAGAATACTTTAACAGAGAAATTTAAATAAATAATGTTGTATGAAGTCAACCCACTCATTAGTTCTATAGAGAAAAGTGATTCAAATAGCAGCAGTCAGTTACATTCTTCTACTGGCGATGTTTAATTTGAAGAAAAGATTATGGTATATATTTCTTGTCCCTTTGAATCTAATTAGGTACATTTGACAAAGAATAATCCTTAAATAGTTATTCTTTATCACAAACACATTAAAGATACCTAAATTATCTATTTGTAATTATTGTTTATTATGACAACGGCTAGTGCCACTAGCCTAGAGAACCCAACGCTTGTCGTTTGGGCAGTCATTTTTATCCTAGGAACTATTTGGTGTAGCACAATAAAAAACGAGTGCTGCATTAAGCGATATAGCCTAAATTATGAACAGCAAGTAGATTAGATTAGATTAGGACGTTATTTGTCCTTGTCCACCGCGACCTTTTCAGATCTATTGTGGGACTCCGTTTGTTTTAGAGTATGTCGTCTAGCCTGGTCTTTTTTATTAGACTTAGTAGCTTTGACAGTGGCTCCCGCATGTAGTTGCATGCAATTGGCTTTTCTTCGCCCAATGTTAGAAACCTCATTCCAGCCAAGCCTTCACATTGGCACAGGACGAACAGCAAGTACCTTCACACAGTAATTATTAAGGCTTAATACTTTTAATTTTTAAAAACAGTCTTTAAAGAAAACATTTTTTAAATTATCTTTTATTTATAATAATAATACTCACTTCGATATCTTTGCTCCACAAAATAGTGTGTGACATGGAATCCCAAAGTTGTAAAACTCTGTCATAACCAGCAGTTGCAAAATGAGGTATAGTAGGATGGGAAGCCAACGCCCAAATTTCATTGGCGTGACCAAGTACAATCGGTTGAAATCCGATATCTAGAGTTCCAAGAAGGATACAGTTGTGAGTGGTACCAATCAAAAGTTGATAACCTTTTCCTTCAGAAACTATTCGAACTCCTCCAAAGTGACCTTCGATCTAGAGAAAAACAAAACTTATATGAATAACACACTTTATGAAAGTTTCAGTTAACACCAGCATTCTAGTATCATGATTCAAGGTATAAACTCACCTGATTAACTACACCTGTTAAAACCAAATTCGGAGCGAACTCAACTAATCTCCCATCTCTTCCACCTCCTGTAATTATGTTTCCATGTTTCGTTACACAAATGGAAAAAATAGATCCTTCATGTACATTCTTAATATATTTAAATAGGGTGTTTGTACCTCTTCCCCAAATGGCTAAATGTCCACTAGAATCACCACTAATGACTTCTCCAGATTGTAAAAAATTTACACAAGTTACATATCTAGGCCTATCTCTAATTTCAAATATACCATTTCTTTTGAATAAATTTCCATTTATTTGTATAGACCAAAAAGCTATGTGGGTTTTACCACAAGTGACTATGCAATTGTTGTCTATTGGATGGAATTCTGCTGATACTACAGTATCTACTGAACACTAGAATAAAAAATAATTTTATAAAAATATATCTATTCATCGGTTATAAGGTGATCCACAAACAATGTTTCTAAAGTAGGTCATGATTGACAAAGATACATTTCGAAGAAAAGATTTTTCATGAAAAAGAGGTATGAAACCTTTAATTATTTAGTTTCAGATCAGTTCTAAATTAGTTCTGCATCAAATCCGGCTCAGTTCAAGATTAGTTCCGCATCAGTTCCGGGTAAATTCTGGATCAGTTCTAGATCAGTTCTGGATCAGTTCCGGATCAGTTTCGTATCAGTTCCTAATTAGTTCTGAATCAGTTTTGAATCAGTTCTGGATCGGATCTGGAACAGATCTGGATCAGATCTGATCAGATCTGATCAGATCTGGAACAGATCTGGATCAGATCTGGATCAGATCTGGATCAGATCTGGATCAGATCTGGATCAGTTCTGGGTCAGTTCTAGACGGATTTGAATTAAATCTAAACTGACATTTAAAAAGAAGGGAATAATTCAACGGTTTGACACACGCGAATTTTTCCAATGACAACTTTAGAATCATTTTTTGTGGATCACTTTAATTAAATAAACTGAATATATAAAACTAATTCGTATCCTAAATTTGACAATAATTTTTAAATTATTTTTTCTAATTTTGACATAAAAGTGACATATTTTGTAATCGCAGCAAGTGTCAAAACGATCTACTTTACATAAAGTAGAACATTATGCAACTGATTGCGAAAAGTTGATTATGTCACCAGTTATAAAAAAGAAAACAAAAAAATAATAACTTTAAATTGCATTTTATTTTTTAAATAATTGAACACCGTAATTGAAAACTGTTGAAGGTAAAATTTTGACGTACTCCTTTAAGGATAACGGGTAAAAACGTATTTTTTTTTAATTTTCCGCGGGAAATGTCAAAAATCAGACCAGCAACATTGCACATGTTCGTTATTTTTATTATTACTACTGAAAAAAAAAACGTCCTAGGGCAATCAAATACAACAATTTTCTCAAATATTTGATTAGAAGTACCTACAAAAGAATGATGGTAAATCATTTTTTAAGCATACACAATTTTAAAAATAATCAAGTCAAAATTAAAAAAAATCTTGTATGTAACACGTTACGAAATGCCGTTTTGTATAATTCGTTCATTTTGCGGGACTTCGCTCCGTTCGTCTCGCAAATATTTACTCGTTACACAAAATACGGCATTTCGCAACTGGTTACATAAATAGCTATTATATCATCATCAATTTCATTTGCCCTACAACCCATGGTTTTGGGCTGTTTTATGATCAGCTTCTTATTTTTTCTTATTTTAAATTTTTCGTTTTCTAATTGATAAACTGATCCTTAAATATGGAGTTTTATCTCTCTTTAGTGTTTGGTATTTTGAACAACTTTAGTTATAATGAAATTAGGAGTGTGCAAATAAACAGCTTCTTTACTAGTGGTAACAGGTAACGTAATAGTCATAGATGGCGTAACAAAACCAGTATTACCAATAACTTTAAATGGGATATTATGGCACGTGACACGCGACCTCATTTTAAAAGTATTCAAGATACCTATTTAATCATATAATTTTGTTTGGATTTAAGGTAATTTTGAAGGATAAACTAAATAAACACTAAAGTTATATTTTCCCTTTTAATTAATAGAGATTCAAGAACCGGTTCTTATAGAAACTGTTCGAAATGTACTCCATCTACTTTCTAACAGTAAAACATCCTATTGCCCACCCAGATAGCTCACATAGTCCAATGGACGTCAATTTTTGATCCACTTAAGGGTTTAGAATGTCCATATCTGTATTTGAACATCCAGTGTACGTCCGATAATGATCATTAATTTGAGAGCTGCATATCGATACCCAGAGGACGTCTGTTTTTGGATTTAATTTTAAGTAGTATTTTGGCTTCCAGTGGACGTCCATCTTAGGTCATTGCTTATTTATCCTGCCAGATACAATACCTATCTACATACACTTTTTTTTAATTTAATTGGTGATTAAAAATTGACAAATTGAATATATTGCATTTCATTGTATCAGCAGAAGTGGCTCCTTAGTCGAGATCGTCTAGTGGTTGAAAGCGTAAAACGATAGTGGACGTGTCGTGAGTTTAATTCCTGCTCAGATCAAGTGTTTTTAAATAAAAAAGAAATGGTGTATAGCGGGTTGCAAAAATAATAAGTAAATAATTAATAATATAAAAGAGCGTTTAGTGAGTTGCGGTTGTGTAAAAAAATGTGGATGGGGATGTGGTCTCAATGGAATATAATCTAGGAATGGACGTTTTTTAAATGTCCGGTATTCAACGTCCAAATATAATCCAGAATTAGACGTCCACTAAACAGTCAAAAGTGTGCCATTTATATACTTCATTAGACGTCCATTGGAAGTCGGAAGTATAAAAAAAAACTCATTTTTGGACGGCCAGACATCCAAAATTATACATCGAATGGACGTCCAGTGAACCTATTTGTGCTGTCTGGGTGATAAACTCTTGTAGCATTCAAATATGTCAGCGAAAATTATTTTTCTTCATTCTTCAACAAATTCGTTGTTTTAAAACGTCAACACTGTGAAGAACTGTAGCGTAAATCTTACATTTAAGGTACCCAACAGAAGAAAACTAAAGGTTTGAGTTCCGTGACCGAGATGGTCCAAAATACCTGCCCATTTTTGATGGAAACTGTGTATGTTTGTCACGAAACATGCGAGGATTTGAATCACTCTAATACCTCACATTTTGAGTGTTAACATTTCCATTGAGGTAATCAAGTCCTTTTGTTACTGTTAGAAATACGTCCAACATATTTAGCTAAAATCTGAAAGCCATTAACTTAAAAATGTACCGAGTTCTTTAATCGCAATATATCAATCTCTCTTGCAAACTGCAACCAGGACACATGCAGTCATAATGTCATCGTCCCATCTATAGAAGATATGACCCACGTGTCCACTTCGAGAAATTTTTACACTTTTGGAGGGACATATAAAAATTAATTACGCGAGCTCTCCAGGTTCAGATGAGAGACTCGTCTTGCTTCTCAAATATTTTTGTTTTTTGTTTTTTTTTTAAGTGGTAACATAATATAAGAAAAGATAAACCGCTGGTGTATTATAGTGTAGAAGCAATCTGTACTATACTGTACTATTTGTGCACTATGTATACTATTTGTGTACTATTTTTGTACTCTTTGTATACCATTTGTGTGCTATTTGTGTATTATTTATGTATTTTTGTTTTTTGATTTTTTTAAATAAAGTGGTAACATAATATAAGAAAGGATAAACCGCTGGTGTATTATTTGTGTACTATTTCTGTACTATTTGTGTTTTATTTATGTACCATTTGTGTACTATTTATGTATTATTTATGTACTATTTATGTACTATTTATGTACTACTTATGTACTCTATCTGTGTACTATTTGCGTACTATTTCTGCACTATTTAGGTAATATCTGTATACTATTCGCATACTATTTGTATACTATTTGTGTACTATAAATGTGTACTATATTTGTGTACTGTATTTGTGTACTATTTGTTTACTACTTTTGTACTATTTGTTTACTACTTTTGTACTATTTGTTTACTACTTTTGTACTATTTGTTTACTACTTTTGTACTATTTGGTTACTACTTTTGTACTATATGTGTACTATTTATGTACTATTTGTTTACTACTTTTGTACTATTTGTTTACTACTTTTGTACTATTTGTTTACTACTTTTGTACTATTTGATCACTACTTTTGTACTGTATGTGTACTATTTATGTACTATTTGTATACTATTTATGTACTATTTGTGTTCTATTTGCGTACTATTTGTGTACTATTTGTGTACTATTTGCGTATTATTTGCGTACTATTTGTGTACTATTTGGGTACTATTTATGTACTATTTGTGTACTATTTGTTTACTATTTGTGTACTATTTGTGTACTATTTGTGTACTATTTGTGTATTATTTGTGTATTATTTGTGTACTATTTGTGTACTATTTGTGTACAATTTGTGTACATTTTGTGTAATCTTTGTGTACTATTTATGTACTATTTGTGTACTATTTGTGTACTATTTGTGTACTATTTGTGTACTATTTGTGTACAATTTGTGTAATATTTGTGTACTATTTGTGTACTATTTGTGTACTATTTGTGTACTATTTGTGTACTATTTGTGTACTATTTGTACTGTTTGTGTACTATTTGTGTACTATTTGCGTACTATTTGTGTACTATTTGCGTACTATTTGTGTACTATTTGTGTACTATTTGTGTACTATTTGTGTACTATTTGTGTACTATTTGTGTACTATTTGTGTACTATTTGTGTACTATTTGTGTACTATTTGTGTACTATTTGTGTACTATTTGTGTACTATTTGTGTACTATTTGTGTACTATTTGTGTACTATTTGTGTACCATTTGTGTACTATTTGTGTATTATTTGTGTACTATTTATGTATTATTTATGTACTATTTATGTACTATTTGTGTACTATTTGTGTACTATTTGGGTACTATTTGTGTATTATTTGTGTACTATTTGTGTACTATTTGTGTACTATTTGTGTACTATTTGTGTACTATTTGTGTAATATTTGTGTAATATTTGTGTACTATTTGTGTACTATTTGTGTACTATTTGTGTACTATTTGTGTACTATTTGTGTACTATTTGTGTACTATTTGTGTACTATTTGTGTACCATTTGTGTACTATTTGTGTATTATTTGTGTACTATTTATGTATTATTTATGTACTATTTATGTACTATTTATGTACTATTTGTGTACTATTTGTGTACTATTTGGTTACTATTTGTGTATTATTTGTGTACTATTTGTGTACTATTTGTGTACTATTTGTGTACTATTTGTGTACTATTTGTGTACTATTTGTGTACTATTTGTGTACTATTTGTGTACTATTTGTGTACTATTTGTGTACTATTTGTGTACTATTTGTGTACACTATTTAAAATTAAGTCTGAAATAATATTACCACATTTTGTGCTTCTGTGTTTTTTATTACTAGCATAACTTTTGAATCAAACCGAGACATAATAATTTTTATAATTTGTTTATCAACAATTTTTCTGATCATTTCATTTCGCTTGAAATCTAAAAAAAAAAACTGTAAGCAGAGACAATACATAGATACTTGTTTCTATGTTTCATTTCTAATTATTCAGAATCTTATTTAAGATGTTTAACTGTAGTTGGAATTTTATAAAAATTTATTTAACACATTATTTGTGAAATATATTTAAAAGGTTTAGTTCTTACAAAATGTTCATCTTACTTTAGTTTCCGTGATTTTGTAACCATTTTCGCCTTTTTGCCAGTCCCATAAAGAAATAGTATGATCTGGAGCATCATCTACAGCTAATAAAAGTGACCCATCCACTTTTCCAAATGACAGACAACACACAGCTGAATCAAAGTCATTCATACCAATAACATATTGAGTGTGAAGAGAAATGGAGTTCCATACTCTTATGTGTGCCTAAAATATATCGGAGAAAATAAATTTAAAAAAAAATACAATCAGGTAGTTAAACTTAATATTAAGTATCTGCAAAAAAAATTTGGTTACATTAGATTTGGTTAGGACTGTATACTTTATTTATAGCTTCTCCCACCTCGACCTTATCAGATCTATTGTATATACCCTTTCTTTGCACATTGGTTAGAGCACTTTGTCTAGTTTGGTCTTTTCTATAAGAAGTAGCTCTCTGATTGTAGCTAATTGCCCTTGAATGTTTTTCTCCAAATATAACAACAGTCTTGATAGATGTTTACTGTAGTACAATATGTGTATTACAGTTTTCACCTCTTCTGCCAAACCAATGTTATGCATAGGTCATATATCTTATTAAACGCGTTATGTTATTCATTTTTTGAAATTTGGAGACAAGATTTTGAAATATGTCGAATATTAATTTGTAATGCATAAATTGAAAACGTAAAGTATTAACGTCAAAAATTCCCAAACAAGATGATACGTTGAGTTATATTTTAATACTGGATAAAACAGTTATCGTTACTATAAACAACTAAGCTCAATTCTGAAAGTTCAGTCCTAAAACGTCATATTATTTAGAATATAGTCCATTTAAATTAAAGTTAATTAAGCTATGAACGGTAAGCATTTGTTAATAATAATATTGAAAAAGTTACATACCCTTCTCTCTAAATTATTATGGCCAGTGCATTGACCTGTTGCTATAGTCATCTTATTTGGATGAATTGCTAAACTAAAATTAAAATGATCAACTTTATCCTAGTTATGTATTTCCTAAATTATACAAGGTGATTCCTAAATTGATACATATTATTTAATTGTGTATAGAAGTCATTAAAATAAACTGCAACAAATTTCAACTCCGCTCGACTTAAGCACTCGTTCTATAACGGGACTTGATAGGGAAATCGGTTTTTCTCTAATTGTTGCTGTAGTCTGATCTATTCTTGCAATTAGATCTGTGTGTTAACAAGCGTCTTGTGAATAAGAAAAATATATATTATTGTTATAATGATGTGCCATTTACAAACTGACAGGTATACTGAATGATTAACAAGAAAAAATACAGAAACAAACCGACGTATCAGCCTATGTTTTGCAGCACATGTTAAGTATATTTTTTTTTAGTTTTAAAAACTAATTTCTAAATAATTTCCTTGATTTCTGAGATCTGAGATCCCTCGTGTTCCATATTTCGATCTCTGTTTTAGTAAGTCAAAAACCAAAAATGACGTTACGGTGACCGTTAAGCATCTGCATATAATCACAAGCCACAAAGGGGATTTTAAGGCTTCCTTTTCGAACACAGCTTTCAACAAAGCTGGCTGTATTACAGTGGCGGCTGGTGGAACTGTCAAAAAAATGCAAGTATCTCATCTATATTTCGCAAAAATGTTCTTTATACATTCCAGAATATACGTAAAATAGGTTTTATGGACAATCTCAATAATTATAATTTAAATCATTAAATAGTAAATAAGAATTATCATAATTTTCTTATTACTCCAGATATCATGCCTACGTAGACGTCACTGGTGGAAGGAGAAAATTAATTTTTGCCTACCACATTTCAACAAAATATAAAAATATGTTTCAATGAACATGAGAAAAAATTTTTTTTTATTTTTTTACGTGAAAACTGCGTCGTACGAAAGTAAGTATATAAACCAAATTTGTTCCAAAATAAATGAGAATTTTTAAAATTATTTTGGTTTTTAAAAAAAAAGCAGTACGTACTATTTTTTTCTTCAAAAATATTCATTTCAAACCCAGTATGGACGTCACTGGTAAAAATTTAAAAAATCTTTTACGTCAAAAATGCTCCTTAATGATTAAAAGTTGTGTACAAAATTTCATAAAAACATAAAAAAATTATGATAAAAAAGTTTATTTTTTCTTAAAACTGTAACGTGTCCAGTACCTTAAAAATTAAGAGTCTACGACATATGTTAATAGGTTTGTTCCAACAACGAATCTGATCATCAGAAGGACGTAAGACGCATGCGCATTGAAAATAGTCCGTTCCTACAATACTACGGATAATCCGATGAACTGTCAGTAAAACGTTCCAACTTATTTTCTGATTCGTACATAAATGAGTCGGCGGATTGTCAAAACAAGCTTCATCGCTTGTACAATTTATCAGTACATGCGCATTTGAACGTCTTTTCTCATTCGTGCTATTTGTAATTGTTGGGATTTTAAGTTAGCATGGAGTGACAGCATGGAGTGGCTTGAGTTTCTATTTCTTTCAATTGAAATGAATAAAATTTGTTTTTATCTTGTGTACGTTTTTTTTATGTAAAACATTTAGTTTGTATAAAAATAAACATCTTAAAAGTTTCAAAATTATACATTCACATAGAGAGTTCGAGACAGCTAAATAATTGTATTTTGTTGTATTTTAAATAATGTTTAAAATAACAATTCACCAAACATGTGTTTGGATTGTCCAATTCCATTGCATTTTGCGTTCCAACAAGTACAAGTCCCTGATTAAACAATGGACAAATAACCAGACTGAGATGCGCAGTGATTAGTTTACGAATGCATCCATGCACGAGTCAGAGACACATCAGAAAGGAGCTGTTGGAACAAACCTGATATTAACTTTTGTTCTTAAAATCACCCAAGGATTCACATCCTTAAGTATCGGCACTTAATTAATAAATACCCTGTATAGTTACTCAGTTCGTTCTTATTCTTAAATAATATATCCAATGTATCAAAGAACAAGTCTAATAACAAGTCTAATTCCCTACTTGAGGATGAGTTTAACTACCTTCCGTAGAATATCTCTAGGTCTGTTCCAACAACGATCAAAAACCAGTCACTGACACAAGGATTCTGCGCAGTTGTTTATTTTGACCGCCAAATTATATACTGCGCAGAATCCTGGCGTCAGCGACTGGTTTCTGATCAATGTTGGAATAGAGCTTATGTTGTTAATATGCATTTATATCTGTAATCCAGTGTCCATCCTCTCTATATACTATGTCTCTGTGATACATACTCTTCGAGCATATATATTACATACTTAATTATGATATTGTCAATAAATGTTTTTCAATGTCACTCATAATATTTTGTTCTCCAACATATTTAACAGGTTATGAGCCCAGAAGGCAAATAATTATAGTTAAAACGTTATTTTAAACATATTTGCCATCCATATAATAGAGAAAAATGAGTAGCGCTCAATTAGTTATTGAGAAGTTGGAAGGTGTTTCCAACTGGTAGACCTGGAGTTTTGCAATGAAACATTACCTCAAGCAAGAAAAATTATGGAAAGTCGTAGAAGGTTTGGTGAATGATAAAAATCCTGATTAGAAAAATAAAGACGAATTAGATGAACTAGCTTTAGCGAAAATAGTTCTTCTCATCTATATTCTCATGTAAAATCTGCTGCCAGTTCCAAGAAAGCATGGAACATTTTGTCAAAATCATTAAGAGATCGTGGACTTATTGGCAGGTTAAATGTGTTAATGACAGCTTTTTTCAGTTAAACCTAATAATTACAAAAATATGTCTGAGTATGTTACTGATATTGCAAGTTTATCACAAAATGGGACATTCATTTGAATCCGAATTTGTTGCTGTAATATATCTTAGTGGTTTCCCTAAATATTACGATTCATTTATAATGGGCCTCGAATCAACTTCAAACAAATTAAATTGTAAAGATTGTAAACAAAGACTTCTGAATATGGAATTTAGATTAGATAATCAATCTGATAATATTACGGTTTTTTATGGAACCAAACAGAGTTATTATGAGGAAAATCAGAATAATAACCAAGATAAAAACCATAAGTACAAAAAGAGTACAAATGTAACATTTGTAAGAAATGGGGTGATCATAAAAGGAGGGACCGACCACAGAAAAGTGATGACTCTTCGATGAACAAAAACAACCCAAGTTCATCTAGCAAATCAAATGTTCAGGTTTTATGATTACATCTTATCATCAGTATGTTTTGATGGCTAAAATGAATAAGAAATATGATCGTGTTTTATAGATTCTGGTTGTTCTATGCATATGTCTCTTTACAATAATTGGATAGATAATTTTAATCCTAATTCTCCCTCTACTGAAGTAATTTGTGCAAATAAAGAAACATTGTTTTCTAAAAGTACAAGTGACATTCCAATACTTAGTGAAAATGGTATTAAATGTGCTATTAATACTTTACATGTACCAGAATTATCCACAAATCTATTATCAGTTAATAAAATGACAGATAAAGATTTAATATGTGTTTTTGATAATAAATAGTGCAAAATATAGAATAAAAATAAGTATTAAAATTTTTGGTAAAGAATGTGCCGCGGCCAATAGACTTAATGGCATGTATAAATTATACCATTTCTAATTCTGAAATTTCTAATTCAGAAATTATTAATAATTGTAGGTACTTCTGAATTTGTTTATACTGCTAATATAACTTGTTGACAAATATGGCATAAGCGGTTAGGCTATTTAAATAGCAAAGATATGAATACATTAAAAGAACTTGTAATAGGTGTTAATTTTAATGGAACTTTTAATGAACCCTGTATTAACTTTTTAAACGGAAAGCAGACTAAACAACCATTTAATAAATCTAGTTCAAGGTCAAAAGAAGCAGGCCCCATGGAAACTCAGTCCATTGGAGGTTGTCGTTGTATGCTTATATTCGTAAATGATTTTTCTAGAAAAAAATTTGTATATTTTTATAAATATAATTATAAAGTACTTAAAAAATTCAAAATCTTTAAAACCATAGTAGAAAATGAAATTTTTAGGTCTGATAATGGGGGCAAATATATTAGTAAAAATTTTAATTATTTTTTAAGTGAACATGGAATTAAACAAAATTACAATTCCAATGACTCCTGAACTTAATGGTGTATGGTTTATGTTAGACGATGGTGTGGGCTTCAGAAACAATTTCGGGCTGAAGCCTACAATACAGCTATCTACTTAATCGTTCGCCTCGTAGGAGTAGTTGTCAAAAGAGAAACGGCCGCGCATATATTGTGACTATGGCTTTGAGTTTTGTTTGATGTATTTTACATCTCGGTCACATTTGAGTTTGGAATTATTTTATTTTTAGTAAGTCAATTGTTTTGCTCTTAAGTATAGATAACAACAACAGAAATTATTTATACTTTTTAGTTGTTTCTTCTTTTGAGTTTTTTTTATTAAAATATGTTGTTTATTTTAATGAGTTCTGTTTACTTAGGAATCACCCTACATAAATGTAAAACTTGTAACCATATATTTAAGAACTTAATAAACATTTTAATATTTTATTTCTTAATGATAAAGAGCCTAAAACGGTTGTTTATTAATATAAAAGTCATTCACGTTCAGAAATTCATATTTAACATATTAATATTAAAATTATTGGTAGGTACATTTTATGGGCAAATCAATAAAATCTAGTATCAAATTCCGAACTTAATCTAAGAAGGCTGTATAGTCATCAGAAAATTTATGCAAAAACTGACGATAAAAAGTATGAGCTAATCTGCAAAGGGTTTCTGAAAATTGAACTTAAATTATTACATAATGGGCCATGTTCACATGTGAGATATGCTGTTTTATAAACTATATTGTAATAGTTAGTCGCTATACAAGTTATTCTAAATAATCAGTTCGTTAAAAAAGCTAAAAGTTTTTAAATTAAGCCCAATTGAAATTTAAAATTTGAAATTATACGTCATCGGGAATAGACCAATCAGCTTGTGTCGAAGTTTTTTTTTGTTTTACAAAACCAAGCCAACGAACAAACCTACATACAGAATGTCGAAGTGAACGCACATCTAAGTGACATTTAAAAATTGACAGCACCTAACAACTAACCTTAGTTTTTTGTTTTGGTTTAATTTTATTGTTAATCTGAATTTATCTGGGTAAATTATCCTGTGGGATATAGGATATATAAAGGAAGAAGAATATGAATTTATCAGCTGTATTTATAAAAGTTGAATCAAGTATTTTTCCCATTGTAAACGAAAATATGATTACCGAGATGATTACTGCATTTTTTAACAATACTCAGTTTCCAAAAGATAGAAAGGTAAAACTTTATTTATAAATTGTTTTAATGGTAGGTAGTTACAGTTTATATGAAGCAGTACACTTTATAGTAAAACATATTTATCTCAGGTTTTATTTTTAGATCTGCCAAGCAAGAATATGGAGATATTTACTTTTTCCACAAGAGAGAAGGAGACAAATTACACCTAAACATAAAGTACAGCAAAAACCTTATGATGTGGCTGTTTTTTAGTGCACAATGCTTAGGATATGTTGAATCTCAAGGTTTGTAATATTTATTATGCTTTTTTGTTTTTATATCACATATAATAAACAGTGTATAAGGCCCTTTATTCTTATAAATATTTTTTTTCTAATTTTGACATAAAGAGACATTTTTTGTAATCGCAGCAAGTGTTAAAATAATCTAATTGTTAGTGAACCTAGTAATAATTATGATACCAAAGAATGCTGCAGAGCACCTATGAAATTTTGAGTTAAAACATGCCATATTTTTAGGCTATTTTTATACCCTTTTCAAAAATTGTATGCTCCTCGTTTTATGCAAAACTTAAAATGCTCTGATAGCTTCGAACGAAGTCAGCAAAGCACCTCTGTTTTATAAAGTTTTTTCTGTAAAAACAGCAACACCATATATTTATGCACTTGAAATATTATATTTTTAAAAAATACATGGTGCTTGCTAACCTTCGAAAGAAGCCAGCAGAGCAATTCGGTTTTTTAAAGCTTTTTTCTAAAAACCACACCCCATTTTTAGACTCTTGAAATATTGTAAAACTTTACTAAAAAAATTGCTATTTTTAAATAATACAGGGTGCTTTGTTGGAACAAAGTCAGCAGGACACTTCAGTTTTTTAATATATAAAAACAACTACTTATGACACATGTTTAGGCTGTTTTAAAATCCTAAAAATGTGGTAAGTATATTTGTTTTCAGAAAAAAAACTCTGAAGTCAGCAAGGAATTGCGAATTTTTTTTAAAAATGTCAAATTTCGAATATTTTATAATATTGTAGGAGCCAAAAAATGTGGTGTGGTTTAAAAAAAAACTGGGGTGCTCTGCTGGATTCGTTTGAAGCTAACAAAGCATCCCGTAATTTTTTATTTTATAATACTCAATAGCCTAAAATGAGACATAGCTGTTTAAACAAAAATGGTACTTTTAAAAATAGCAGTTTTTTTCGAAAAGCTCTATAATATTTCAAAAATGTGAAAATGTGGTGAGCTTGTTTTTTTTAAGTTTTGAAAATCAGAGGTTCTTTACTGGATTCGTTCAGAGCTAGTAAAGTGCTCGTCTTGTTACATAAAATAAGGCATTTTGTAGCTGGTTATATAGTTATTTTGTAACTGCATATCTAACCCTTTTATTTTTTTCAGGAGGTTGTAAACATGTGGCTTCATAGAAGAAGTGAGGAACCATCTGTAACATCTACTCAGTGTTATTGATAATGATGTACACTTGGCTAGATTGTTAAAGAAACCTCTTCATCCACTACAGGAAAATAAATCAGTACTTTTATATTCTTAGGATTTGTATATATTTTTTATTTGTAAATAAATTGTTTTTTTACTTCATTTTTCTCATTTTTTATTAAAAGGTTAATAAATAAAATTTTCACAGATTTTTATATTTTTGTTTGTAAACAATAATTGAAGTTTTTATTAAAAATCACCAATGTTAATAATAATAACTTAAGTCAATATTATTCTTTCTCCTTTTTTAAAGCTACGATTAATAAAGGTATTACTTTAGCTTGACCTATGATCAATTTTTAATTTTGTGATATATTTGGTTTGACAGAAAAAAAATTAAAACCCTTTGACATTGGTTGTTTTTACTTAGATTTTCATAAAAAATAAACGGAACTGCAAACATGTTTTACTATCGTAATAACGAATAGCAACATGAAATTTTTTTTTCACATTTATCACTGTTGTCATTTTCATAAGAAGGCACACTTTCTGGTTTTTTGGAAAAGGTGGCAAGAACTGTGATATTTTTAAATTTATCACCAGTGATACCACATGTAGTTACCCGATTTATTGGAATATATAGACTTTGCTACCACATTCAACTGAACTTGGTTTTTAATATTTATCACTGTGACATAGGCGTTTTTGTTAAAATGTTTCATTTTAAACTGCTGTAAATAGGTGCCTTTGTTTTGGTAGTTTCAGTCCCAAAAAAATCTATGCATATACAGATACTCATTCCTCTTCAATTTGCTCGAAAAGTTAAATTTTTATCAAAAATTACATTGGCTGTTTAAAAACTCATTATAATCCCTGAAATGTGATAATTAGGTAAATTAAATTAAAAAACAAACAAAAAAGTTTATTAAATTAATATTTACTCTTACAAAATAGGTTCTTGTAAGTTAACAAGCAATTATGCAGATATTACTAAGTAAATGTACTTGCTTAAAATTCACACACGAATGTGGTTTTAACATGTTAAATTAACTAACCCTTCTTATAACTCTTTCCACATGTATTCTTAGAGATGCTATTCTTTTACTTAATTGTACATCTTCTTGAGAAGTTTTTTCATTCTGTGATACACTAGGTGTGGCTTTACTAAAGTGTATCCCATGTTTTCAAGTAGCTGATTATTCTGAAACCCCTATCTGCCATTATATGGGATCCAGGAACCAGTTTGTTTAAATACCCACATTTTTCCATTATTTCTTTATCACTAGTTCTTCCACAAAATGATGAATAAATTCGGCATCTTCAAAACTTTCAGGAGATTCTGCATTTTCTTCCAGAAGGGTTTTTAGGTTATACACCTAAGAATTTATAGTAGCCTTATTTTCAATTTCCTGAAGGGGACAATTAGCAGAAATTGCTGCTACATCTTGATAATCCGGTGTATTTTTATTAAAAAGTTCACGAGAAACATCGCTAGTAGAAGGTTGATTTTCTTCTTTCCAAATTTCTAGGAACACTAATAAATATTTTTGAAGATGAATGTGAATCATTATCACATTCTGGAACAAAACACTTTTTCGTAGTCATAATATTTATAAAAAGTACAAAATTAAACAATCAAATTCCAAATAAATTCTTGATGGAGACACTATGATGACAGATGCCATACACAGTGCTGCCATTTTGCCATTTTCTGAATTATTAAGTGACTTTTAAAACAATGAAACTTTAAATATGGTAAAAGTTTAAACAGAAATAATACTTTAAAAAAACATTTGATATTATATATTTAAAAGATATTTGTTTAACGATGTTTTAGAAGTCTAAAAGTAAGAAGGAGTACACAAACGAACGTACATCACTTCTCGTAAACCTTCTAGCCGGCAACGTTGTGCGCTAGCTCCTATTGGTCTATTCCCGGTGACGTCATAAATTTTAAAAAAATTCATAACTCCGGCAAATGAATAGATAAAAAAAAAAATAAAAAAAATGTAATTTTATTTTTAACTCTATTATTCATAAAAAAAAATTCAAAATTTTTGAACATGCCCCATTCCAATTTAAAATTATAGACACAAAAAATTATGCTAACTTTGGAGATATTGGTGTGTTGGTATTTAGATTATCCTTTCAAAATTGATATAATAATTCGAGTAAAGTGACTAACAAAAAACTAATAAGAAGTACAATTTATGATTACCTTTTAATATCATCAGTATGTTCAGTATAATGCCGTTGTATTTGTTCTTCAGGATTATATAAAATTGCAAGGGCTGCTACAAAGTAAACTATTTCTCCAGTTGGCAGAAAATAAAGGTTCGATCGACAATCTCTTCCTCTATAACCATATACCCATTCTAGTTTCAATTTCTTCGAAGGAGTTTTTGACACTTTTGTTATTTCATAGTTTTCAGTTAAATTTGAAGGTACGTGTAAAATAATAGGCTTATTTCGGAGAAACATCTTTATACTTTTTTCTTCATCATTGTAGGTAATGTCTTTTGTTCTGTAAATATACATTATTTTTGAATGTACAACGACTTGTTTTTTTATGCATTGTAATAAACGTGGTTATAGCTTTTTTAATTAATAATTCCTTTAGAAATATGCTTTTTAATTCTGTCAAATTACTGCTTAAAAACAACTTTTTGGGATTTCATTTGTTCAACCTTATAGAAACAGATAATTTAGTTAATAATGATTTACTAACTATAAATAGGTATTTAGAAACATTTTCTTGTTAAAACAAAACTTAAAAGTTTATATTTTAAATATAACTATATACAATGAAAGAAGGTATGAAGCGAGAAAAATCGGCCGAGATAAAATAAAATAAAATTGAAATGCAATTTTGGAAATATGAAAATTACAATCCTAATTTATCCAACCAAATTATGGAAGCTACACACCCTAAAAAAAATCCAAATAAAAATTTAAAAAGATGAGAATTAATGTGTGTATTCCCAAGTTTAACTCCAAAATTAAAGCTTAAATATGTAATAATAATATTAATATTTATTTAAATAGAGTTTAAATCATTTAAATTCAACATTACTTTTGAAGTAATTAATAGGGGAGAAGGTGGATGATTCGGCCGTGGGGTAGATTCGGCAGATCGTATTTGTATGGAAATTTTTCAAATTTGCCGCGAATAAAGAGCTCACAATGGTGTGAAATAGTCCCACCCACATAACATCAATGTTTTATGAATATACCAAGAACGTTCTGTTTAAGTTCTTTTTAGTATATCCTTTTAGAATGTTCTTAGAACATACCTAGAATATACTTTGAAAGTATATTGTAGAAAGTATATACTGAGTACGTGCCTTAAAAGTATATTCCAAAAAGTATATACTGAGCACGTGCTATAACAGCACATTAGAAGATACTAAAAGTCATAAACCCAGCATGTACCTCATATTCTGAGAATGTTCTAAATGTTTGCAGATAAAAATTAACACCAAATACATGTAAAAACAAGTTTATATACATATCTATATCAATTTTTCCCAGATGCCGATCTAATAATTCGCTACCAAACGCACTAATGTTGAATGTTTAGGCCAAAAAACATTCTCAAACTAAAATAGAAGAAAAGAAGAAGAATAACATAACCTGCAATACTACAATTCCTACAAATTTTTTTGATATCGTTTGTTTGTAAGAGGTAAGTCAATTAATAAAAATTAATTGCATCGTATAGGGACCGTGCGTCATGACTTTAACGCTAACTGGTGACAAAAATGTGAACTTTTTGGGGGGTATTTATTAATGTTTTATACGGCATTTATTGTTTAATAATTATTAATAAAATGAAGTCGAATTATTTTCGTAATATCAATATCGAAAAAACTTGTTGCATCCGTGGATGTACAAACACATCACTTTAGAAACCTGGATTTCATTCGATAGTAAAGAAATTTTATAAATTTCCACAGAGCACAATTATGCCTCACACCCAATGATATACATAATTACAAAGATTGCTTATCCATATGTAAATCAGACGACGAAAAGCGTATTTCACTGGGCAAAGTTTTCTTTTTATCTAGCTTGTACCAATTTTGAGCACTTAGTTGTAAAGAAATCATTTACAGAACCGGTTTAGAAATAAGAATCTTTAGTGTTTTCTTGTCATTAAGATTTTTACATATTTAAATACACATTTTATATAAATATAATTTTACAGATAAGGGGTCCTATGATTGAACGTTTACGTTATCCGTAACGTACATGTTAGGCCGAATTTGAAAAGTAACGAGGCAAGTTCGGATGATGGAAAACTGTTAAATTAGAAGATGACAGGCGGAAAATAACAGTAACGTGTTGGAAAAAGTTTTCCATCATACGAACTTGCCTCATTACTGTTAAAACTCGGCCTAACATGTACGTTACGGATAACGTAAACGTTCAATCATAGCACCCAATGGTTTATTCTGTTGATTAAAACTAATGTAGAATGTTATGAAATAAGAATGTCCAATTTGACAAAAATATCACGGCCCTCTTTACAATTTATTAACTATTTCTCATTTATTATTAAAATAAACAAATAATAAATAATACATTGCAATTACTGTCAAAAGAGATTGTAACAAACTTTAAAATATTAAAAATCCAGTGATTTTTTGTAAATTTTTTTAGTGACATTACCATTAAACATTATTCAGAATAATAGATAAGTGTCCAATTACAACTCTTACCAAAGTTGTTCATACCTCATATCAAAATTGTTTACATTACCTTTTCAAAATTGTATTACATATTGCAATTATGTATTTTATGTAGAATTGTTTCTGAAATAGTAGTCTAAAATTATTTATATCCATCTGTTATAAAAATTGTTTAGATCTCTTAATATTATTTAACTACATGAAAACTCAACTTTCCAAATACATAATGACATGTCTTGAAGTAAAACTTTAATTATTATCTTTTTCTAAAGATTAAAATGCTGAAATTTTATTTTAAAACACATTTGGGCTAGAACGGTTCTATTTAGTGAGCACTAGGAAAGGCACATTGCAACCCGCTTTTCATAATTTTTTTATAGTTGGGTGAGCAATCTATAATATATGTATCATTGAACATCTCATAAACGCCAGTGGATGAATGACATTTCGATTAACATAAAGCTAAAAAGATTTATAATTATTATTATCAATCTTTTTTATTAATTTACATTTTTTAAATGTTATTGTAATACTTTTAAATTCAGTGTTACTAAATACCAATATTTTAACATTGGATACACTTGTTTAAGGTACAACTTTACAATTTATTGTCACTTAGCCATTTAAATCTTTTTGCTTAAAATGTATATGCATGTCCAGATTTTAATAATGTTTCACATTTTACGTAATTTTGACCATGTACACGATTGTTTGGTACGGGCCGGTATCTATTTTTAACTATATTTAATATTTAAAAAAATACCCTTCATTATTTACTTGCAATGTTTACCCCATTTAATTCTAAAATTAAACACTAGAGAGGGCTAAGTTCGGCAGTAGTGCTGCCTCTATATTTCACGCACGGTCCCTATATTCTATATGAAAATAAACAAATTTTACTATATTTATAGTTTTTAGGACTTATAAGTGACGTTAGAATACAGGATATCCCAAATATTAATTGCCGGTGTAAATTTATTAATATAGTTAATACTACTAATGGTGGATTGAAACTAAAATACAATGTTACCAGAATTACATACACACTTTCTATGAAAAAATCCTGTAAGGCCAGATATTGACCTGGAAGAACTAGAAAAGTTAGCTAAAGGAGGACGAAAACTACAAAATGGTGGTAAGTAATTAACAAAAATATATTTAAACTTTCAGTAAACATCATAATCATTTATGTAACTCTTGTTTTTGTTAGTGGAATGCCATGTACAATTTTTAATATTTTATGTTCGACAAAAATATTTAAAATATCCCGTTAGCTTAATTTGTATATGTACCAAGTTTGTTATTTTTTTTATTTTTTAGGTTCAATGAAGATCCAATGGAATCAAGCAAATGATACAATAAAATATTGACTGGTTAAAATAGTATTTGTAATAAAAATAAGTATGAATTCTTTGAAATAAAGACTCATTATATACACTTATTCTTTAATATTCAATATTAATTAAACATCCTGTATTAAGGTGTCTAGTATATGCCTAGCATATGCTATATTTAAATACTTAGCATATACTTAGAACGTACTATCAAATTAAAGTAGATACCTGTTGCATACTGTACACATACTTGAAGTACATTCTCAGCATCTGCATAGCACGTATAAACAACGTCACGTAGTATATGCTTAGCATATTCTGAGAATGTACCAAATGCAAATACAGTATATTCTCAGCATATGCGTATTCTTAAAAAGTATATACTAAGAATGTATAATTGTGATCTGGGCATGTGGTATTGTGAGTACGCGACTGTTCCGTTTGTACACGTGTTCTATTTTTAGAAATTGAAAGTTATAAGGTGAGTTTTTTCCTGCATGCTGCGAAATATCGAGTTTAAATTTATTATGGGTGAAACAGTAACTATTTAAGTTAATGATCTACGATAAAACCTAACCTATAATGCATGAGCTTCTTTTTTAATCGACCATCAAATTAAATATGTACCGTGGGGTACATTCGGCCAAAAGGCAGTGGGATAGATTCGGCTAGAGGCCGAAACTACCCCACGTTAAATGCTACTATAGATAAATGGTTTTTACTTTTATTTTAGATGCCGCGAACTTATAAATGTAAAACAAATAGACCTAATATTGATGAAGATGCAATAAAACAGGCAATACGAGATGTAACCAGAAAAGTATGTGGTTTATTAGAAGCTATAAGTCGATATGGAATCAAAAAATCAACTCTGCAGTCTAGAATAAAAAAAATGAAATCCAAAGCTCCCTATGGCAATATTGATTTACAATCTGATTCAGGCAAGTATACAGTGAATCAAGTGTTTACTAAAAGCCAAGAATTAGAATTGACTAATTATATCAAGAAAACGTCAAGCCTAAATTACGGACTTTCTTATCGTCAGATCCGTCTTCTGGCATATGATTATGCCAAGTCAAACAAGCTAACAGTACCACCATCATGGAATAGCAACGAAATTGCTGGTAAGCTAAATGGTTTTTATTTCATTGTTATTTAATAATTACATAATTTACAGGAATAGAAATGATTCATGAGTAGGCACAAAGATTTGTCTCTGCGAAAACCTGAAAATACCAGCATTTTTAGATCAAGAGCCTTTAATAAAGACAGAGTGAATGAATTCTTTAACAATTATATTCGTGTCTTAAAAAGATATCAATTTACTGCAGAAATTTTTTTTAATTTGGATGAAACTGGTGTTTCAACTGTTTTAAGAAGCGTGAAAGTTGTCTCAACTAAAGGTAAAAACAAGTGGGACAGATTGCGTCCGGTGAACGGGGGAACTGTTTACTTTTACTGGAATCATCATAGGGGAACAATTCCACCAGTGTTCATATTTCCCAGAATTAGTTATCCCGAGGAATATATTGGTGATGGACCTGAAGAAAGTCTAGTTCTGGGAAATAAAAGTGGATGGATGAACTCCGAGTTATTCCCTTTAGTACTTAAACACATAGTAAAGCATACACATTGCTCCTTGGAAAACAGAATTTTATTAATTATTGACAATCATGAGTCTCATATATCAGTGGAGGCTATAAAGTTTTCCAGGGAAAACGGAATAACTTTACTATCATTACTAACGACGTAAGGGTGGCTTGGGGGCGAAGTAAGGAAGGGTAGGTAGATCAAAAGTGTGTGGAATTACGTCTCCCTATGCACTGTCGCATACTCCAAAAATTCAAGATTTTAACTTAAAATTTACCAGAAATAAAGTCATCCGGAATTTTCGCGCGGATACTCAGTATATATAAATATATAGGTTAATTTTGAATCTCTTGCACCCTCTATTCAACCGATAAAACCGATCGCAGATGGTAGTCATATATTAATGCGGGTACTAATAAATGAACTGGAGTGGGGTAGAATGCTTGTCACAAAGGTTGAGATGCGACTCTAAGGGCGCAGACAGGTTATTTTTCATCTTACTCGGGAGTATTTATTGTAACCATTTTCTATTTCACATTGTTATTGTCTGATCCACCAGCTTGTGGACTGGACAATAACAATAAAAAACAGAAAATGATTATTATAAATACTCTTGAGTGAGATGAGCAATAAAAATGGCTGCGCCCATAGAGTCGCATCTTGTTTTATTGATACAATATGCACATTGGCTTTCTATCCCACTCCAGTTCATTGGTACTAATTGGCATTTTTAGCAGGTGTTCCTTTACCTAATAACCTAACTTTTTTAGGTGTTCGTTTAGATATACAGAATGTCCCATTATTTCGTAATTATTTAATATTTCAATGTGTGTTATAGGCACGCAAACAAGTTTTAAATAAAAATTATATGAATTTAAAAAATACATCTTTTAAAAATATTTTCGGATATACAGGGTATTGCGTTGCAAATAAAAATGTATATTTTTTTAAATAGAACACGCTGTATTTTATTTCAGTTTTAGAATGGTTTGGTAATAATGTATTTAACCATAGAATGTTTTTAAAAAATATATCAGGGTTGCCAAGCAATTACTTTAATTGTGAAATTAGAGAATGATGCAAACCTCAAATTAAGTTATCCTATTTTAGGTAGGTTTACAATAATTTAAAATATAGACTTTTAAGATACCAAGCTAACGAATAATGGTGATAGAACTGATTTATTGTATACAGAGTGTTTCGAAATATGTGTTAAATATTGCTAATTTTAAGTTCAATTTACTCATTTTTTTTAAATGTAACACCCTGTATATTATTTTAGCACAACATTCCATATAAATTTACATATTTAACGAAACCAACATGTTAGCCAATAACACATACGTCCCATCAGTGCGTAATTGATCGATTTTTTAAATGTTAGGTCTTAAAATTGTTTAACAATATGAAGAAAACCAAATCTGTTAGCCAGATTGTTTGGTCTAAAAAAGTATAAGTTTGGTTCGCCCCTCATTTATAGAGTACCCTGTATATTTAAGAATATTTGTTAAATATGGTGGTATAACTTTTGTATTAAAAGTGTCTTTGTATCTCCAATAACAAAACCGCTATCAATCAATTAAGCACCAAGGGGAAACCTGTATATGAACAATAGGCATGAACATATTGGTATCGTTGGATAGGTAATACTAAAATAATATACAGGGTACTGTATTTGAAAAACTTGAGTAAATTGAAATTAAAATAAGCCATATTTATAACATGTTTCAAAACACTCTGTATAAAATGAACCAGTTCTATCATCACTATTCGTTAGGTTTGTACTTTATAAGTCTATATTTTAAACAATTTTGAAATTATTGCTAACCTACCACCTACCTATATTATGATAAATTTATTTGTGGGACTGCATCTTTCTTTAATTTCACAAAAAAATTAATGCAACCCACTAATATTTTTTAAAAATATTTTAGCGTTGAATACAGTATTACTAGATCATTCTAAAACTGAAATAAAATACAGGGTGTTAAATTTAAAAAATATACATTTTTATTTGCCTGGCAAGAGCGTAACATCATGTATATTCAAAAATATTTTTAAAATATGCCTTTTTCAAATCCATATAACTTTTATTTGAAATTTGTTTGATACTAATGGAACACCCTGTATAATATTGACATATACTCTAATGATATTTGCCAATATTCACCACTATTTGTCTTTCTACTTACCTACTTCTTATTAAACTTACTTCGAATGCACGTCAGTATGATTATTAATATGAATAAAATCTCCAGTTGAACTCCATCTTTTATGTAGTGAAGAAGTACTTTTTGTAGATAACTTTGAGCTGCTATATGTTCTTCTGGCATTAGTTGGAAGAGGCGTAGCTCTGGGTGAAGGAGTAGGAATCGGGCTTGCACTACTGGAACTTTGACTGTCACTATGTAGGCTACCTATAAAAGCAACATTTTCTGAATAAAAACTAAACATTTATTTAAATAATTAATAAATAATGTGACCCTGTCAAGAAACCTTGTTTCCATAATGCAGGTTCTATTAAGAACGATATTATCTAAAACGAGGTTAAATAATAATAATAATAACGGGTCTTTATTTGCACAAAATAATTACATTTTTGTACAGTTAGCATGGGCGAGGTTTAGCCTGTGGCTATTCTTACACCTAACCCTAACAAAACATATACATTTAAATAACTATAATATTAAAAGTTTATCAATACAATTTGACATTAGTAGCTCATTATATCTACCAGTTTACATTTGACTAATAAAGAGTTGCCTTTTTAAAGCATTTTTAAAAACAGGTAGAGATCGTGATTTTTTTAATATCGGTATGTAAAGTGTTGTACAGAACAACCGCGTTATACGAAAAACTACGATTATAAATAGCACTAGAGTGACGAGGCATTGATAAATTAAAATTGTTTCTTATGTTTACATTGTGCGTAGACGATCTAAAAGTTAATTTGCTCATAAGATATAATGGTGACGCAGTAGAAAGTATTTTAAAAAGAAAAGAAAGGAACATAAATACATATAAATTATTAACAGTTAGCCAGCCAGTTTGGGAGAAGGCTTGGGAAATATGATCGAATTTTTGCGAATCTGCAGCATGTATTCTGCATAATTTGCAAACGGTTACGATCAGCAGCTGTTAAACAAGGATAATACACAACAATTCCATATAATATTTTTGAAATTACAAGGCTTTGGCAAAGTTTTAGTTTTATAGATTGGTTCTGTAGGATGTGTTTATTAGAATAAAGCAAGCGAAGACCACTATAACACTTTTGTAACACATAGTTGACATGTTGACTGAACCTCATTTGATCGTCAAAGTTTAACCCTAAATTTATAGACTCAGTTTCATGTGGAATAGATTCACCAGATATCATCAGAGTTGTATTGTTCTTTATATATTGTCTAATATTTTTACTATAGAATAATAATAGTTTGGATTTCGAAGCATTAATGTGAAGGTTATGATCAGACGAATAGTTATCAATTTTTTTAAGATCTTGATTAATCTTATCAACTGCAGTAATGACTTCATTCGACGAAAAATCGAGGAACAGCTGAGTGTCATCAGCAAAAAATTGGACTGCACAATTATTTACGTGTTTGTAGAAATCCGAAGTATAGAGTAAGAAAAGCAGGGGCCCTAGGACTGAACCTTGTGGTACACCAGATTTGATTTGAATGGATGTTGATTTCTGACCGTTTACTGTAACTAACTGTGATCGTTTACTTAAGTATGTTTTTATGAAACCTAATGAAATTCTATCAAATCCATAATATTGACACTTGGATATAAGAAGACTATGATTAATGGTGTCAAACGCTTTGCTAAAATCTAGTAGAACTAGGACACCTGCTTTTTTCTTATCAATACTATTGAAAATATTGTCACTTAAATGTGCCAAAGCTGGTGAAGTACTGAAACCCTTTTGAAAACCCGACTGATGCAAAGGGATTATATTATTTTCACAAAGATATTCGTATATTTGGAAATAGGCTGCACGTTCAAGAATTTTTGAAATTAGAGGCAGTAGACTTATTGGACGCAGTTCATTGTATGAACTAGGATTGTGCTTTTTAGGTAAGGGTATTATCAAATAGAACAAATAGAACAAACGCTGAAATAATAAAGCCAAGGCGGAAAAATTTAAACATTCGGAGCGTACAATTCTTCTTCTTTTTAAGAATCAGTTTGAATTTAATTCAGAGCCATGAGCAGTTATTATGGACATGCCTCGTATCTGTCTTTGTCGGTCGTGGACCACTCTATTAGACGCTATCTTACTCAGTGGCAGCTGGTGGGTTTGAATGTAGGTGACGCGTTGAAAATAAAACAAAAAAATTCGACTTTTTTTATTTTTTGTACATAAGGTCGATTCTCCTATCCTTTAAACTTGCAAAACTATCTATTATATTATCAAAAATGACTCTAATCGTACAAGTTCATTTAAGAGTGTCTTTTCAATCGAAATTTTTGCTAAATTGGTAAGTCGATCTTCTGTTATTGTATTTCGTAGATGTTTTAATTCATTTTAAACAAGAAAAACCACGTTCGACTGAAACACTAGTGGCTGGAATAATTAGGATTAAGCAAAATACCTTATAAGCTTCTTTGAAAATATTACGATTTTTTATTCTAAGCCTGGCTCTCTTTTTGAAGCCTGGTCATAATTTTACAAAAGCTGATTTTAGATTACTATGCGAACTACTAAGGGATTTTAATTGGTCCAAAATTGGACACATTGAAAAGGTTGATGATTCTGTCAAATATTTTTACCAGGTTTTTTATGAAATGCTTGACATATGTGTACCAAAGTTTACTAATAGGCCACATGCATATTGCAAACAGTTTCCGCCATGGTTCACGGATGAAATAAAAATCGACATAAAGTACAAAGAATTTTTCAGAAAAAGAAAACATCTATCGGAATATTATTTTAGTAGATATAAAAAAATTAGGGCGGACCTAAAATTGAAAATAAGGACGGCGCACAATAATTATATCCAAAATATGCAGAACTGTGTTAACCAGGGTCCCATGCTTTTTTGGAAGTTCATTAAAGATAAGAGGTCTAATAATATATCTGAATCAAATTTTATTATAAATAATAGGGAAATATCTGACAAAAAAATTATAGCAGGGGAGTTCGCTGATTATTTCAGTTCAGTGTATGACAACGATTCAAACTATAACCTTATAGATATTAATGGTTTGACTAACAATTGGAACGTAAATTTTTATCAGAATATTGACTTCGATCTAATATCCGTCAAAGACTTAGAAGCGGCATTTCGAAAGTTAAAACCGAAAAAGACAGCGGGTCCTGATAATATTCCTTGTTATATCCTAAAAGCTTGTAAAGATTATTTAATATACCCTTTGCTGGTAATTTTTAATAAGTCGCTTAAAACATCCATATTTCCTAGTGAATTTAAAAGAACGAGATTAACACCAATTTTTAAAAAAGGGGATAAAAATAAAATAGATAATTATCGTCCCATAGCCATATTAAATTGTACGGCGAAACTGTTTGAATTTGTAATATATGATAAACTGTATGCTTACTTTCAAAAATACATATCAACCGAACAACACGGATTTTGTCGTAAAAAATCTGTAGATACAAATTTATTAACTTTCAGTGATAAAATATCAAAATGTGTCAATTCTCGTGAGCAAGTAGATTGTATTTATACTGATTTTAAGAAAGCCTTCGATAAGGTAAATCACAATATTCTTCTAGCTAAACTGAAATATTATGGTCTTAGCGATCATCTAATAAATTTCTTTATGTCTTATCTAAAACTAAGGTATCAATACGTAATGTTTGGTGGTGAAGTATCTCATACAATCCTCGCAGGCTCTGGGGTCCCTCAGGGCTCCAATTTGGGTCCTCTACTTTTCTTAATATTTGTTAATGACCTTCCTCTACGTATTACATCAGACTGCCTAATGTATGCAGATGATCTGAAAGTTTTTAAGAAAATATCCACCCTAGATGACTATCTAGACCTTCAAAATGACTTAGACTCAATTTCGGATTGGTCATTTGAAAATAAATTACATTTTAATCTTTCCAAATGCAAGGTTATTACATTCAGTAACATTCGTAATCCTCAAAATTTTATCTACACAATGCAAGGATCAACACTAGAAAGAGTGTCAAAAATGACCGACTTGGGAATAGTTTTTCAAAATAATTTCAAATTTGACGAGCATATCCATAACATTACCAAAGAAGCTAACAAATTGTTAGGTTTTTTGAAACGCACAACTAGGGACTTTACAGACACACACTCGATTAAAAATGTATTTTTTGCTCTCGTTCGTAGTAAATTAGAATATGCATCCACTGTATGGGACCCTACACAACAAAATTTAAAACACATTTTGGAAACTATTCAAAATAAATTTGTCAAATATTTATACTTTAAAAAGTATCATACAAGTCCAGGATTTGTTTCATTTGGACCTATTAGAAAAGAGTTTGAAATTGAAAAATTGGAACATAGACGCTCTATAATCAACCTTATCTTTTTACATAAATTATTAAATGGATATTTGGACAGTCAATATTTATTGAGTCAAATAAAAATTAATGTTCCAATAGCAGGTATTCGTCCACGTCAATTAACTTTTCGTGCGGATAATCATGGTCCAGTAGAAAAAATTTGTCTTTTGTTTAATGTACACTCCGAAGGCATTTCTTGCGGTATTTTTGATGTAGCTATAAGCACATATAGAAAGGAACTTAACAAAATTGTTGGGCTCGATTAAAGAGATATAACCTTGTAGGATTTCCGTGGCCTTGGTGTGGGGTTTTGCAGACGCTCTGATTATTCCTGAATATTTCTGATTATTTCAGTAGTTTTGTTCTTTAACGAACTTTGTTAAAATTTTGTAGTAGCGAGGTTTGTTTATTATAATTTCACTTATATATTTAATTAGATACTATGTATTTTTGTTGATTTCTATTTTCGCTGTATTTATAGGAACATGTAATTAGGCTCATGCCTGTTTGTTTCTGGAATAAATAAATAAATAAATAATATGGGTCATTTAAAATGTCATTAAGAATTTGTTTTAGAGAATTCCAATTATTATGAATAAGACTCAAAATCTTAGAATTAGATAACCATCTTGTAACTGTTGAAGGATTATTGAAGGATTATTGAGGATTACATCGGCGGCGTGAGTAAACAATGCTAATACCTAATTATTATGCTACATTGAGATTTTTGAGCAATATCTGTTGAGTCGTCTACTTGAATGGAAAAAAATTGCAATCATTTAATTCCATTTCAATGTATTTGTCAATATATTGAGAAATACAGTTTATTAATTCATTCTGAATTATTTTAGAATTTGCTGCAAATATAATCGAAATTTTTTATAGTGTTCTTGAATGTCTACAGAACTAAGTGAGATATACGAATCTAAAGGTTCCTTAAAATTACGGCGCTTTCTGGAAGATTTATCTTCATTATGACCACGAAATGCCAATTCTTTTTTTCCTAGAAAAAGAACTGCTCGAATTGGCAACTGCATAAAATGTCTGTTAAGATGCATTTTTATTAAATTGTTTTACATATAGCCTAGAGTTTTCTTTTAAAGCGTCTTCAATAGTATTTAATTTTTTTTAGTTCTGTAAATCTTAATGCACAACGCATATGTTCACATGATGATTCATGTTTATGTAGGCCGCGAGTCACGTTCCCAAAATCACTAAAACCGTCTTTATTCCGTACATTTGATTTTACACCTACTATCAAACAGGGTAGGTACGCAAAAAAGCTTGTTTAAATAAAAACTACCACACAACCATTTACATTCGGAATACCACTCTTTCCGAAATTTTCGCACAAACGTTTTGTCTTTTGACTTAGTTTTTTTGCTTACATTTAGTAGAGGTTCAGGTTTTGGAGATTTTAAAAAATATTTGTTATTCTCATTTCCCCATCTACAGAATGGCATCTCCAATAGCATACATACTGGATCATGTACTGGAAACATTATTAGAAAAATCGAAAAAAAAAAAAACTCGCAATAGTCGCAATTGACCAACTAGTCCAACCACTGTATAAAAATAGTCCCCAACAGAAGAAGCAAACTGAATTAACGCGTCAAGTGCATTAATCGGCTAGATCGAAACGTCAAGCGCTCCGTTCGCTCGGATTAGGAAATTTTTCTATTGTATTATGTTTCCAAAACAAGCGAGCCCGGACGGTAGGATTTTTTTATCAAGCGTCTCGTTTGATATTATGTTTCCAAAAACAAGCGAGCCCGGACGGTCAGATTTTTTTTATCAAGTGCCTCGTTTGTTTCATGCAGTGGTCCAGATACCCCGAAATTAGGTACAGTTTTGGAGGTTTCTGTTTTGTAATTTGTATAGAGACAAAAATACAGGGCATTTTGTTACAGAAAAAGAAATATTTAGCTATTCAGTTGATTTTTTTTTTTATTAATTTTGGTGAAGCAGTGCGTCACCTGCGTCATCTAGCGAGCCGCCACTGAAGATAGCTTCCCCTTGGATCAATCATCAAAAAGCAAGAGGACCAAGATTTCTAGAGTAGAGAGGGCGAATTATAAAATAGCAATTTCTCAAGTGTTGACTCCTGAGAACATATTTTTTGCAAAGAAAAACTTTAAGGTATTTCCATTATGAGACATTTTCATATTCCACTTATGTTTTTTTAATATTCTTATTGGTACTTAGTCACTTAAAACTGTTGAAAGAGAATGTCATAAAGGTAAAATTTCTTCTTTTATGGTGTTGTCCATTCAATTTTAGGTTCTAAACGTTTTGTCAAACACCTTTTTTACAATTTATCCGAAGCAACACTCTAAAAGATTTAAATCCTGGATTTACAGTATCCAGTTTTGACTGTTTTGAGATTGATGAGAGGAGGGTAGTCACAATTTCACATGAACACTTATTCACCCTAGCACAAACGCATGTACCTATTCGTGTAACATAAAAATAAAGAGGAAATAAATTGCATAACTTGGTGTATAAAAAAGCACAAAATGTTTTTAGTTTTATTTCACTACGAGGAAAACATTGGTTCATTCCATTTTTACATTATTGTCATTGTGCACGTTAAAAGTAGATCTGTATCTGTTTTTATAATACTATTACTTCAGGACAAACGATAACCGTGGATTTCGCCAAACGAACATTAGAAAAGTGTTGCCAACTGAAGCTAACTACTATTTCCCCCCTTGGTTTTGAATTTATTCATACATACATAATTTGTATTTTATATAGATAAAATTAAATAATTTAACAATTAAAACATGCAAGACTTATTTAGAAATAAATACAACAGTATGTTATGTGCTTTATTTAGCTGCAAACAAGTTTATTTTTATTATTTTGACAAAATTATGTATAATTCCCATAAGAAGCCATGTATTTTGAACAACGTATGGAATACCACCGCTCATGCGGTTAATTATAGAAGCTCAACTAGCATGCGTTTTTTGGGACCATATTTTGAGTATGCCGATTCATCGCCTTATCTCTAGTCTTCATAGTCGCGACCCCCTTAGATATACCAGCCAGTACCAGCCATGAAAATCTACTAAATTTGAGAGAAGTATTTGACAGATTAAGAAATGCCAATCTAAGGCTTAATCACAATAAATGTTCACTGTTCCAGTCGGAAGCCTATTATTTGGGACATATCGTTTCCGCAGAAGGAATCAAAACTGACCCGGAGAAAATTGCAGCTGTCAGAGATTGGCCCAAACCAAGAGATAAAAGGAAAATTAGAAGTTTTATTACCGAAAATTCGTCAAAGCCTTTGGTCAAATTACTAAACCCCTTCATCGAGTAACTGAAAACAGTAGTCTATTTGACTGGACGCCGGATTGTAATATTCTAGGCTTAAAGAAATTAAATCGGGGGTACCTAAAGTTAGTGTCCTGGTGCTAGTTATTTACCTCCGAGATACCACCAAAGAAAAAATGGGAAGTTTCCGACGACAAGCCATACTTGGCTATCAGTAAAACCATAGAAGAATGGACCGGAAAATTTTAACAGGCAACTAATAAAATCTACGAGTGAACAATGAAACTAAAACAGTTCAGGTTAACTTCACTAATAAATGATCAGTAGAATACCTACCAGTGATATTAAACAGTACTAGAATACCATATTTTAAATCGGTAAAATACTGATATAGGTATCGACCTAGATATAAAATTAAAGTGCGGAAATAACACAAAGAAAAACGGAAAGAGTTTTGCTTAAATATAGGAAATTATATTGCTTGACGAACAGAAAACAAAACTATTAATCTAAAATAATTCATTAATATGTAAACAAGTACTGAAGCCAGTAGGTGTGTACTTACGATCTAAAGTTATGGCTGTGTGCCAGTTAAAATCACATAAATTTAATACATCACTTTCAGAACAAAATATTAAGGTCTATAGTAAACGCACCTTGATATGTAAGGAACTCAGGCATCTGAAAATGCCAACAGTCAAAGAAAAGAGGAAAACTTAAAAAAAACAAGAAAACAGTCTACATAACCACGTCAATATTATAACTCTAGAGTTCCTGTATAACCAATACCTAACCAAAAGACTCAAAAGAATCAAAAAATTTAAAATTGTTTGAAACGGAGCATTGCGTGCACCTGTGCATTGCATAATTTCGAAGTTGGAATATCTAAACGGAAAGGAGAAGATATAATTGGATGAACTCTTAGTTTTTAGCTTCTTTTGTTTACTTTATTATATCCTGAAGACAAATTGTTGATTAGCTCAAATATAGCTAAGTGTAATACAAATAAACAAAAGAATTTGGTACTCCTCTTAAGTAACTCTATATAGTAAGGGAAATAAAATATTTACCCAATGAACTATCTCAAATCTCAAACCTTCACAAAGCAAAAGAGAATGCTATAACAGTAACTATATCATTAACTATAACTTGACCTGTAATTAATAATATTTTTATTTTGTTTTACCGCTATAGCAAAAATGCTCTTAGTTAAGAAGTTCTAACTTGTTTTATTTTGCAGATGTATGAACAGTTCCGCGTAAATCACTACTCTGTATAAAATAAATAATTATTTTTTACCTGTAGATCGATAATGAACGGCTTTTCTTTGAGGTAAAAATGATGAAATATAGTTTTTCCGCTGTTCTTCTAGTTTTGATGTAGTATTATTATAGCTTTGTTTGTGATAATCGCTACTAGGACTGCTACTCGTTTCCAACCTAGTCGGAGTAATTGGCGTGGGAGTTGGAATTACACGAGATGCTTGTTGAGTAACTTCTAGGTTGTTAAGCCTTCGAAGCGCTTCCGCTAGAGTAGCCTTAAGACAAATGAGTTCATTTTGTTGTTCGCCCACTTTTTTTTCAAGTTCTGCAATTCGGTTAACATACACATCTTCTTCAAAACCTAAACAAAAATAGTTTTTATTATCGGTCAAGTGAGCAACACTTACGATATGTGCGTGTCATTTAATGGAAAAGTAAGAAATGGCCATTATACAGGCAGGCACATTAAAGATTCAAAAAGGTTTAGAATTGATGGGCTTAATGTGACACAATGACAAGTCAAATTTTTCGGAATTTCGCTTTTCTAAATATTTCAACCAGGCAATAACAAAACAAGATGAGCATCACTGATAGAAACCAGATGATTTGCACAATCTGGGCATTTTTGATTCTGTTCAATATCTTCGATAGGTTGCGCTAAACCAGTAGGGAAACTTTTCGAAAGGCATCAAAATGTTTTCCTTATCTTCAGCGATTCTGATAAAATCTTTGTAGTTTCTTGCCAATTTTGTTTCGAAGAGCTTCTATTTATTGGAAATTCTAGATTGATTTTTTTTTCAGTCGTTGCGTCACAAAATGTTTATTTGCTGATTTTACCTTAATAATCTCCCTTCACCATGTTTTATAAGCAATAAATACAATAAATATCATGGTATATATAGTGATAAAAAATTAACAGTGATGGCAGACATGTGTTACATATTGATAATAATATATGTAGTATGTAAAGTTATTTTTTTTTTTTTTTTTTTGAATAAAATTGTACATTTTTTTTATGTTACATACGGTAGAAATTTAGGAACAGTTTAAAACAGGAACAATGAAGTTATGTTCCGTGTAAACAATCGACCACTGAGAATAAGCGACACATTTTTTACGACTATTTATCCACACATAAAAATATGTAATTTTCTTGATTGGTAGTACTAACTTTCCCGCAACATTGGCATTAACTAGGAACTATTTCATAACGGAGATGAGCGAATTTTTTTTTTATACGAGCGTGTATTTTTACCCACTTTCCCGCACGCATTTTAGTTTTGAAAGTGTCACTTTCCCGCACTAGTGCGGGAAAAAATCACTTTCCCGCACTAGTGCGGGAAAAAATCACTTTCCCGCACTAGTGCGGGAAAGTAAAATTATGAATATTTGGCCTGACCTATTGTATAGTTTTTTTACCTCGGATGTTATAACTATTGTTACAATAGGTAATTTAGTATTTTCCAACTATTCCATTTAATAAAATTTACTTTTTTTCTTGCTTTTTGTTATAATTTTAATTTTTTGGAAAACTTGAATAATAGAGATATTTTTATATACCTTCTGTATATTTTTAAAAGTCAGACTATTGTGACAAGTCTCCTGATTCACCTACAGTGCTTCAGCGAGTCTGTGGCGCTATGAATGTAATTCCCGAATAGGGGATGCTCAGGCGCCAGTTTTGATATCGCAGTTTGCTCTGCGGCCCTGGGGTGCACGTAGAGTACACCCTCAGTAGACTCAGTGGAGTCCAGGTACAAACAAAAAAAAAATAAAACGGATAGACCTTCGCTGTTAAGTTGACCTACACTGGGGTAGTAAAGTAAATAAGGTTTTTCACTGCACTTTTACCTATTAATCACTACGCCCTGAAAACGGAAAAAGCAAAGGCGTAATCCAAAATTAAACTCAGGAATTTCAATCAAAAATATATTTACAAAATAAATAATAATTAAAAATAAAATAAATGGGGTGAAATCGGTATATATTTATCTGTTTAATAACGGTAATAAAATAAATATAAAATTATGTATGTTGATAAAATAAAAGGTCTCGGTATTTACAGAAAATGATAAAACGGTAAAATTTACTATGACCTATACTATACCCATAAGAAAATAAAAATAACAATTTTCCCTTTAAAAAAAATTAAAACGGTGGGCACTAACACCCTTAGCACAAATTCCTTGCTATTAATGAAAACGGCCGGCTTTAGCCATAAGAAAAAAATCTACAATAATAAAACTATATATGATTCAAACTATACGTTTTAAAAATAAAAAAAAATTTAATAAGCTACTCTCAGTAATAAAAAATATCGGTAATCGGCCAACGGTGGTGAACAGTATCACCCTCCACTCATGAGAGAAAAAAAAATGACGGATGCCTTTGTAAAAACGACGCCTAATATCCTCCCCGCAATATTATTTTACTAGGCACAATAGACCAAATAACGGGTGTCTTAACGCGGTATTATTCGACCAATACTTTGAGAATTTTTATTTTATTTATTCGGTTTCAAGTTTCTCTTATGTGGAGATCTGGGAATCCATAGTTTCCACAGAACAGAAACGGCTGCGACTCTCGACAGGGATAGCAAGCGAATACCACTATCATCCCTTGGTTAACACGAGAATGGTTGAAGGGCACTAACGCCCCGGATTTAAATACAATTCGTTACCCTGACAGGCACTAAGAAATCAAAAATATCGGTCGAATAGCTCATGTAATTAATAGTACGGAAGTGAATGTTACAGGGAGAATTATTAGACGGAATTTTAAATAAAAAGGCCTACCTTAATTAACTTTTCAGCAAAATCGCTTTGCGGTATAATCGGCACTACAGCAAGGCAACTTTTATTCTTCAACTCACGGTAACAGCAGGAAAAGAGGGCTCCTTCATCGCAAACATTTAGTTTTATCAGAATTCGTACTTTTGCCGGAGTGGGGCGGTAGCCCCACCTAGAGGAAATAAATTGTTATTGCAAAAAAAACGTTGATTGATCAGCTTACTGATAAAATCTACTAGAATTGCAATTTTACAAGACGATTTACATTATTGTGATATCGAAAAGTTTTAAACTACGAGGGCTCTTGCAAATGTTTAAAAACGGTAATTTTATGGAAATATTAGTTACAGGGGGTCTTGCAAATGTTCATAGATGGAAATTAATTTTAGAAATTAATTTATGGAATAAATTAATGGGAATTTTAGTGACTTCGTCACATCACCTCCTTTCTTTCTAAAGAAAATAAAGATAAGACGCAGTATTATCTTTATTTTCTTACACTGGAACACGGACGGGTGACAAAAGTCATATACAGTGATGTATCCGGTGGCATCTGGAGGCAGCTGGCGGCACCTGGACTCGGTATATAAAAAAAAAACAAACGGACGGAAGATCAACCAAAAGTCAATCGTAGTGGTGGCGTTTGTACTGCAACGGTACGTTGTGACGGAGGGGTATCGGTCTGAACCGAAACCCGGTGACGGCGGATGGCATTTGCATCACGGAGACGGCGGGGAAATGGTAAGGTCGACGATTGGGATGGACGAGGGAGAAACGGGCGGGGCACGATAGGGACAAGGTCTGGTGCGTCGGGACAAGGGAATCAGACGGGGCAATTCTTCCATCTCTCGGCTAGAACAATACAAGCCATTAATCGAGTCGTTTAAGACGGGTTTCTACGGGAGACGGGAATCAGGAATGGGAATGAAAGCAATAACGGAAACGGGAATGGTTACCTAAACGGATTTCAGGGTTGACGTCTTAATGGACACGGACGGTCGTTCCCTGGCTATGAGAAAAAAAAGCAAAACAAAACGCTTAATCAACGCGTTCCGATGCGGGTTTTAGGTCCTTGATATGAACTTTGTTGATTCGCTTACCGGCGGCATCCCTCAGGTTGTAAACTACGGGTGAAATTACTTTAGTGACGGTGTAGGGGCCGGAAAACTTAGGAGCGAGTTTCGCCGCTACATGATCGGCGGCGGAAGACAGGGTATGCTCCCGCTTCATAACTAGGTCACCAATGGTACACCTCCAATCCCTACGACGAAGGTTATAATATTTGCTCTGGGAGGTGAACGCTCGTGACAAACTGAGCCTTGCCAACTCATAACACTCCTGTAACTTAGCCAGCCTCTGGATCTGACCTTCGGGTATGGGCTGTTGATCAAGAGGATCCGGAGGCGGTACGGCCGGGTCGGCGTCTCGACGGAGGGTTTTGGGTACGGATAGTTCACGTCCAAAGTTAAGAAAGGCGGGGGAGTAATTGATCGACTCGTGACGGGACGTATTAATCGCAAAACGGAGATCGGAAAGATGTTGATCCCAATCACGGTGATTTTGTTCACAGAACTGGGCTATCATAGTTTTAATGGTCCTATTGGCCCTTTCCACGGGATTCGCTTGTGGGGTGTAGGCCGGGGTGCTACGGTGACGGATCCCGAGTTCCTTCAGGACATTCTCGAAGAGTCGGCTGGTGTATTGTGTGCCATTATCAGTTATGACCTCCTTCGGGCATCCAAAGGTCGAAATTACGTCGTCATACAAGGCGGCACTCACTGTCTTAGCAGTGGCGGCACGGATGGCTCGGCATTGCACCCATTTAGTAAAACGGTCTTGGAACATGACAATGTAGGCGTTACCCTTCTTACTTCGGGGCAACGGGCCGACTAGGTCGGTGCTAACAACTTCCCAGGGTGCGCGATTTGAAGAGGGTTGCATCTTCCCAGGTGTCTGTTGCTGGGAAGGCTTGTATCGTTGGCATTGTAAACAACCCCGGACATATTTAGTTATATCCCGGAACATACCCGGCCAGTAGTAACACTGGGCGATTCGGGCGATCGTCTTAGCGATGCCAGAGTGGCCAGCGGTGGGAGCATCATGGTTCTCTTCCAACACTCGAGTACGCTGCGGCGTCGGTACACACAGCTTCCAAGGATCGGATAGCTCGGGTTCCTTGTAGTCATTAATATCCCAAAAGTGGCGGTATAATCGGCCTTCTCGTATGCTGTAATCTGGGAATTCGGCGGGGCTCTTTTCTACATCAGCTTTCTTTTGGTTATACCAATTACAGTTAACAGGGTCTATGACTGCGCATATTTCGGAGTCAGGAGGGGAGTCCTCGGTACGGGGTAACGGGTTTCGCGACAAGGCATCGGCAACTCGGTTCAGGGCCCCACGGCGGTACTTGATGTCGAAATCATATTGTTGCAAGAAGATACTCCATCTTGCAAGACGGCCGGACGGACTCACGATTGAATGCAACCACCTTAAGGATTGGTGATCGGTCAACACGGTGAAGTGATAACCTTCCAGGTAACCCCGCATCTTTTCTATTCCCCATACTATGGCA